GGTTTCTGTTTTTTCCCTACTGTGCTACAATGACAACATAAAGGGAAGATACTGGGAACATATCTGTAAATATACATTTGGATTTATACTTTGGATTATTATGAAAAGAAGAAAAAAACCTCACAGTCGTGTTAAAAGCTTCCAGTCCCAGCAGTCTTGCTTTAAGCTGCTGTACTGTAACTTTTACACAATAGTAACGTTTTGCTGAGGACAGTTTTCATTCAATCAGAATATTTTGAATGGAGATGAATTCATTCATTAACTCATTATTTCATTTTGCACAGAGAGCAAACATACTAGTTTTAACCACAGGTCAGAGGTAACTAGTTACATTCACTCAGTTACCATTACTTGCATATCCGGACTGCAGAGATGGGAAGTAACGAAGTACAAATACTTCATTACTGTACTCAAGTAGATTTTTCTGATATTTTTACTTTACTTTACTACTTATTTTTATGGCAACTTTTTACTTCTACTCCTTACATTTTAAAAAATTGGCTCGTTACTTTAGTTTTGAATCATTTCAATGGAGTTACCGTTATTATTTTTCACGTCATCAATACCAAATTCAATCTAATTGGATGGGAATCTACGTTGCATTTGACGCACCACTACAAGATGAATCGACAGATTCGGCGGTATTCATTGGCGGCAAATCCTTGCAGCTTGGTGGCGGTGGCGTTAGCATAGTAGCATGGACGACGAGATGATTGAAAATGAACACAACAGAGATCTAGTCCTATTGGCAGACATCCATTTAAAATGTAGGCAACGGCATGAAAAAAGTGGTTTCTACTTTAACTTTTATACTTTAAGTACATTTACAAGCCTGTACTTTGTTACTTTTACTTGAGTGAAGAAGTTTAATCAGTACTTCCACTTTTACCAGAGTATTTTTTAACACAAGTATCTGTACTTTTACTCAAGTACGGAAAGTGGGTACTTTTGCCATCTCTGCCGGACTGGCTAAAGTTAGAATGGGGAGTATTCCCAAAGCGCCGGCCTGGGATTGGCCTGCTGGCCTGCATCTCTCTCTCTTTTTATTTTATTTTAAGTCTTCCGGTGCAGCGGCGGCGCTCCTGCCAGAGAGAGGGGCTGACCAGGCCACTTTGGCCAGTAGCAGAGACAGCAAAGTGTGGAGGAAGGGGTGTGTGACGTGTGTCTGAGGTCGGATGTGTTGCTAGTGAGCCGTGCAAGCGAGGATAAGAAGCAATGAGCGCAGTAAAAGGAAGAGGGAAGGCGGCACAGAAAGGGAAAGAGACAAAAAAAGAAAGGCGCTGGAGGAGGAGGAAGCAGCCAAATGTAGAAAATTAACAGATTTATTACAGCTGTAAAGTTACTGTATGTTCCAACCTTAGAAATCACAGCAGGTCCTTCTAGATCAATGGTTTCAACCTTTTCTGACTTGTTTTCCCTTTTAGGAAATTTTTCATACTATGAGTTCCCCTCTCAGTCAAAGTATTGATGATTGTCCAAAAGTGGAACGTACAAAAACTGAAATAGATTTAAAAAAATATTTGACTTAATCTTTTAATATGAGCATTTATTTTTTATAAATGTGTGCTTTCATTCTTAAATAAAAAAACAACATAAATATGTTGCCTGGAAGTTAGTAAGGAATCAAAATAAAATCCTATTATAAACCTGTATTTATAAGAATTGAGCTGCCCTATAATAACATTTATGGGCGACAGTGGCGTTGGATGTAGGAGTTTGCCCTGAAATCGAAGGATTGACGGTTCAAGCCCCGACTCTGACTATCAGTGTCGTCGTGTCCTTGGGCAAGACACTCCACCTGCATTGTCTACTGATGGTGGTCAGAGGGCCCGGTGGCGCCAGTGTACGGCAGCCCGCTTCTGTCAGTGAGCCCCAGGGCATCTGTGGCTACAATGTAGCTTGCCACCATCAGTGTGTGCGTGAATGATTGTAGTGTAAAGCTCCTTGGTCAAGTCTCCTGACTTGAATAAAGGCGCTATATAAGTACATGACATTTACCATTTATTTTTACTATTTAAACTTGATGATTTGGGAACAGAAATTAGTCAGACTGACTTTATTAGTTTTAATTGTTTTCATCCAGACCCCTGAGCTGCTTTGATGAGATCTGATAGCTGAGAGTGAAAACCAGCTGATCCAAGACTGTTCTCTACATCCAGGCTGTTCTCTACTTCCTGACTGTTCCTCTGCTTGGTTTGGATGTGGTTCACAGCTGAAACTAAACTCAAACATAGAAGAAAAACGTATTCTTTGGTTGATAAAAGCTTGTTCAGTTTTTAATTTGGGTCCTCATAAAGCAAAACCAGCCATGTTTTATTTTAGTACTTTAAAAATCTGTCATGTCAGTCAGTCATGCAACCAGGCCAGGATGAAAATTCAGCCTGAAAAATTTTCAATTAAGCCCTGACTACTTGAGTTATTTTTTGACAGAAATATACTTTTAGGAGTAGTTTTAGTGCACCGAACCTTTTACTTCTTCCTGTGTAATATCATATATTACTTCATTACTTTTTTCTTTTTTTGTCCAAAGTTCTCAAGACAAAGAGCAGATAATGTTCAGGGTAAAGCTAGATATTTTTTGCTCTATAGAATAATTAAATATATATATATATATATATATATATATATATATATATATATATATATATATATATATATATATATATATATATATAGGGTATATATATATATAGGGTATATATATATATAGGGTATATATATATATAGGGTATATATATATATATAGGGTATATATATATATATAGGGTATATATATAGGGTATATATATATATATATATATATATATATATATATATATATATAGGGTATATATATATATATATATATATATATATATATATATATATATATAGGGTATATATATACAGGTGCTGGTCATAAAATTAGAATATCATGAAAAAGTAGATTGATTTCAGTAATTCCATTCAAAAAGTGAAACTTGTATATTATATTCATACATTACATACAAACTCATATATTTCAGATGTTTATTTTGTTTAATTTTGATGATTACAAATGACAACAAATGAAAATCTCAAATTCATCATATCAGAAAATTAGAATATTGTGAAAAGGTTCAAAATTGATGGCCCCTGGTGCCACACTCTAATCAGCTAATTAACTCAAACCACCTGCAAAAGCCTTTAAATGGTCTTTCAGTCTAGTTCTATAGGCTACACAATCATGGGGAAGACTGCTGACTTGACAGTTGTCCAAAAGACGACCATCGACACCTTGCACAAGGAGGGCAAGACACAAAAGGTCATCGCTAAAGAGGCTGGCTGTTCACAGAGCTCAGTGTCCAAGCACATTAATAGAGAGGCGAAGGGAAGGAAAAGATGTGGTCGAAAAAAAGTGTACAAGCAAGAGAGATAACCGCACCCTGGAGAGGATTGTGAAACAAAACCCATTCAAAAATGTGGGGGAGATTCACAAAGAGTGGACTGCAGCTGGAGTGAGTGCTTCAAGAACCACCACACACAGACGTATGAAAGACATGGGTTTCTGCTGTCGCATTCCTTGTGTCAAGCCACTCTTGAACCACAGACAGCGTCAGAAGCGTCTTGCCTGGGCTAAAGAGAAACAGGACTGGACTGCTGGTGAGTGGTCCAAAGTCATGTTCTCTGATGAAAGTAAATTTTGCATTTCCTTTGGAAATCAAGGTCCCAGAGTCTGGAGGAAAAGAAGAGAGGCACTTCATCCACGTTGCTTGAAGTCCAGTGTAAAGTTTCCACAGTCAGTGATGGTTTGGGGTGCCATGTCATCTGCTGGTGTTGGTCCATTGTGTTTTCTGAGGTCCAGGGTCAACGCAGCCACATACCAGGAAGTTTTAGAGCACTTCATGCTTCCTGCAGCTGACCAACTTTTTGGAGATGCAGATTTCATTTTCCAACAGCACTTGGCACCTGCACACAGTGCCAAAGCTACCAGTACCTGGTTGAAGGACCATGGTATCCCTGTTCTTAATTGGCCAGCAAACTCTCCTGACCTTAACCCCATAGAAAATCTATGGGGTATTGTGAAGAAGAAGATGCAATACACCAGACCCAACAATTCAGAAGAGCTAAAAGCCACTATTAGAGCAACCTGGGCTATCATAACACCTGAGCAGTGCCACAGACTGATCGACTCCATGCCACGCCGCATTGCTGCAGTAATACAGGCCAAAGGAGGCCCAACTAAATACTGAGTGCTGTACATGCTCATACTTTTCATGTTCATACTTTTCAGTTGGCCAACATTTCTATAAATCCTTTGTTTTTATTGGTCTTCAGTAATATTCTAATTTTCTGATATGATGAATTTGAGATTTTCATTTGTTGTCATTTGTAATCATCAAAATTAAACAAAATAAACATCTGAAATATATGAGTTTGTATGTAATGTATGAATATAATATACAAGTTTCACTTTTTGAATGGAATTACTGAAATCAATCTACTTTTTCATGATATTCTAATTTTATGACCAGCACCTGTATGTATATCAATTTTTTTTCTTTTTTTTTTTTTTTTTTTTTTGTGAAAAAGCATCTCGGTGGAGAAAACTTGAAAATAAAGATCAGAGCCCAGCTCTGCTGACCTTTCTCGGCTGTAAATAGATCCTGTAGTAAAAGTTGTCTGTGTGAGCTGCTCTGTTGATGGTATGATGCAGTGTTTCTATATTTCACCAACAGTAAAGGCATTAGTCCACAGCTCTGACTGAGGATTTTTGTTACTTTTAGTTTGAGTCACTGGTTCTGAAACCCAAAGACATTCTTAAGAAAACAGTCTCAATGCAGCCCAAACATACAAAAGAAAATATTCTAAATCTGTGTGAGTTATAAAAGGTAAATCATTCATGAAAATTCTTAATCTGATTCATTATTGAAAATCTTTACTGCTAACCTTTGCAGGTTTTATTTAGGTTTATTTCTGGACCTTATTTTCTAATCAATTTTATGCTGTAATGTTTTGGGTTTCTTCTCCTAATTTTTCAGAGACAATTACTGAGCTGCATCCGTGGAGGAAACTGTCCTGGACCCAACGTCAGCTCTCTGCAGTTGCCTGGAGATGCAAGTTTCTTTGCCAATGAGCTGGCCGTGCCCAGCATGGAGTTTGCCTTTGAGCGAACCAAAGCAGGGAGTACAGAGGTATGCTTTACCCAGAACACCTGTTTCTCTCATATTTGCTGGTCCAACTGGATCGCTCTCAATTTATGCTGCTATTTCTAGCTGAATAGGAATGTTATAATCCAATGGTAGAGAAATGTCCGGCATTAACTGAGTTTCCACAGAACAGCCTTAGATTGGAGGTAATTCGACTTTTGCTCAATGTTGTCAAATCTGTCGACTCGCACTAAAGCGACCTTTAGAGCTGACATTTTTAAGCAGCATGGAGGCTCATCCTCCGAAGCACATTCAAAATCAGAGGCTAATTTAGGACCAACATGTGATTTCCTGGGTGTTGTGTTTGCGTTTTTTTATTTGGTCCCTCTGTTCAGTGATGGGTTTTTCACTTTTAATAAAGATGGCTTCCTTCAACAGCTTTGCTCAATTATCGGTTGTTTTCAATATTAAAAGAGCGTGAATATTCCTAACTACACTGGACCACTTAAACTCAGCTTTGGTTAGGGTGTTCTGTCTTTGGGATAAAAACCACATCTAGAATAACAGTATTAGTGCTTCGTCACAAAGACAGAATGCCCAAACCAAATCTCAGCAGCATTGTTTATGCAGTCCAGTGCAGCGAGGATTGGACTGCAGGCTCCTACAGTATATTGGAGAAACATAGGAAGAACTACACAAACACATGTTGAGGCACCAGCAGCTTTGGGCAAGGGTGCAACTCATGAAACAAAGGAGACACCTTTGATGAACAAAAGGTTCAGGTTTTGGACGGAGAGGATGGATGGTTTGAAAGAGGGGAAAAAGGAAGCCATCTTTGTCAAAAGGGAGAAGCCATCACTAAAGCGAGGGGGAGGATGCTGGTATCAGCTTCTAGTGTTTAGTTAGCTCCTGGGACTCATTCTGAAGAGGTTGCATAAGCAATGTCATCACGGTCCAAATGGCCAAACACAAGACGCAATACTCAACAACCCAGGACAATGGCAGTTGGGTGTGTCACTACCCGATCCTTCCTGGAAGCACGCTCAGATATACATCCGGGTGTCCATAAATAATGTAACTATGGTACTAAAATTACTTATTTCTATCCTTAACTCACTAAAGAATGTTAATATACATCTTTAAAAAAAGGTTTTATAACTTCTGTGAGACAATTTTGATGCTTTTTACATTTTCTCCGTTAAACTGCTTCTCTGACGTCATCATGGGACATGATCACAGCAGTAAATCTGATTTAACCATGTTTATCTGCATTTTAGTTTGTTCTTTCTTTAGATTTCGCACTATATACCATAAGGCAAAACAAAACGAAAACATAAAACTACAAAAGACTAGATTTATGTTTAAATCCAAAGCTGTAGCGTAGGATCCCATTTCCGGTGCAGATCCTGCAGAGACGAGGGATAAAACAGATTTTAAGGCATTTATTTTCTCAGGAAATACATTAACCTTTAACATATTATATTTTAGTACGCTTACTATTTTTGGGGAGGGAAAAACATCATTTAGGTTGCCCTAAAATAAAATCGAGGGCGACCCGGATGTATATCTGGATGCACAAATGAGCTGATGGAGCTGATGCGCAGAACGGATCGTGCTTCCGGCTGGGATCAGGTCGTGACATGGTGGAATATTTTTGACTGACTTTAGGTGTGCTTAGGAAGAAGGACCTCCATGATGCTTAAAAACTACAGGTCACTCCAGTGCTGACAGAATCCTGCATTGCAAATCAAAAAACCGACAGAATTTCCAAGGAGTCCTGGAATGGTGTTAAAAGTTATATAGAAAAATGTAGCTAAAGTCTGGTTGCCCCTGATTTAAGCTTATTTTGTGATTGATATGATCTGGATGACTTAGAATTTAAACAGGCATTAAATTAGTTTGTTTCCATCATGGTTGGGAGACGGGTTCATCCCTCTGTGTTTGCACTGTGACCTAATGTTACCTTTACAGCCACTCACTGATAGCTCCATTAGAGTTTCATGGAAAACAACAATCAGGATATTATGTAAGTCCATTTCAATTATAAGATCAATGGCTGCACACTTTATCAGTCACCATTATTAAGGTGAAAAGACACCTTAATCCAAAGTAAGTATTTCATTGGAGCCTGATGAACGGAGGGTTTCTAAGTTTATATGGAAACTCAAGTAAATAGTTTGTTTTTTTCATTTCAAAGAGGAAATACATCAATAACAAAAGGAAGATATTTTGAAGATGTGGTTCACCAACTTCTTGGGTGTTGAATGTAACAACAACTATCTGCAGGTTGCAACACTATTAGTGCTATTTTAGTTGTTAAAATCATTTACAAACCCAGTTTGATAAACTGCAACCTGGATCCTGTCTCTGCAAGAAACAAATTCACATTTTAGAGTGTAGAAATTATTCATGGCCCTATTCGCTCCCATTAAAAATGCAATATGGATGTTTGTTGTACTACCTTGGCCTAGCAAAACAGAGATTTATCCCCAGAAATGTCAACCCACTCAAATTTGAAACTCCTCGCTCTAACGGCAACTTGGAGCTTAATTAATGATCTTCATGATGTTTATCTGCCCTCAGGGCTTCCTAACAACGTTAAAAAAAACAAAAGGCAGTGAGGATAAGGTCCAGGCTTATTTAAAAGGAGAGAAACGCCTAAATTAAAAGTCTGATACATAAACATGCTCCGTTAAAAAATGTCCTGCAGGCAGTGATTACCATAAACTCAGCAGCATTTGAACTCATTGACACCATTAAAAATTGGAAGAATCCAATTTCCTTTAAATCTGAATTGGTATGCATTGTCAGTGGAAAGGCTGGGGAGGGAAATCCAGGGCTTTCTTCTTGACTGCCCACCTTCCGGCTTAATGTTTTGCTTGGTTAAAGTATTGATTTTTCTATTTGTGCATTTTGGGCTTACGAGGCCACCACAGCACTTAAGAACACTTTTCAACTGGATTTTTATCTTTGAGTTTCTCAGCTTCCTCTAAGAACCAACAGTTTTATATTTGGCAAAAGAAAAGAAGATGATTCAGTAGTTTATGTTTAACAAACTTTGGGTTTATTACTGAGTCCTGCTGACAAAGATGTGTTCTAACCGGTGAAACTTTATGTTAAGTTTAAAGGAGCATCAATCAATCAACGAGGGATGGACATCCGTGCTGCTGACCATTTCTGCACAAATTCTTTTTATCCTTTCGTTTTTCCAGGACCTGAGACTCTTCCAACTGTCCCCCACTGTGTGTTCAGACACACAATGTCGACGTATAGATATTTAAAAAACTGATACCCATTTTTAACCCTTTATAGGGCAAGCTGACATGATGGTCACTTAATCCTCAGTGAGGTCTAGAAGCACAAGATCTAGCAGCAAAGATCCTGTTACATGGCTATACATCTTATTTTGGTGTTTGACCAATAAGATGAGCCCTTGAATGATATATTACCTACTGGAAATTAAGTTTAAAAAAAAAAGTTAACAACTCAAGAAAAAAGAGATACAAAAGTAAAATTAAAAAGTTAATAAGCCTAGTTAACAATTATATTTAGATTTATAAACTATAAAGTCCCAGAATCAGCATTAATGCCTCTAAGTGTCACGATTTGGTGTTGGATTGAGGACCCAAAAGCATAGGCAAGTAGGCAGAGGTGAATTTAGGTGGGTTTAATGAGGTTCACAGGTACGGAGGCAAGAATCAAAAATCCAACAAAAATAACAAGGAGACATCAGGGGAAACCAAACTCTTGGTGCCAGGGAGAGACGAGGAAAGCAGACAGACGTTAGACGAGGATCCAGCAAACAGGAACTGAAGAGGGAGGCTTTTAAAGGGGACAGAGACAAAGTGAGGGCTAACGAGAGGATTGGAAACAGGTGAGGACAGAGCAGAAAACAGAGCAAGGGAAAGAGGACGCAAGAGGGCAGCAGAGGACAACAAATGGAAAACCTGGAAGACAGGAACTAACAAGAAAACAACAAAATAATAATTAAACACTAAAACAAGGAGCAAAGTAAAACTGAATACTCTAAATAAACATAACAAAACCAAGACTGTGACACAAAGTTTATGTTGGAGCAAAACAAAAAATCTGTTTCTTTCACTCTCAGAGAGTTTTTCATGAATTTGTTCCAGAAGCACTTTTGTTATTTTTCTTAATTTATTTGGGCAAGTTGGCGTTTCTAGTTATTATATTGATATTCATTTTTGCCATCAAAATATCCATATTTTTTGAATGATCCAAAGGTAATAAGGTCTTTTCATGGATTCCAATAAGACTATTGGGTCGAAATGTTAATTTTCAAAGTAACAAAGCCGTTACTTTTTTCCTTCTTTTTACATAATAAAAATGACTCAAATTTCCAAATTAAAACAACCAAAAATAAAAAAATTTTTTGAATAATCAAACTAATCAACAGTTGATAGTTAAGCTTTTCTTTTCTTCCAGTTTTTCTAGCTGGGCCCCCTTTTGTTTGCAAGAATTATTTTTGTTGCCCCTAAATCTCTAACCCCAATCCAACCTTTTCAACACCTGAACAAAAAAAAGCTAACAGCAGTAAATAAAATATTGCAGTAAAATAAACTACATCTTATTTGCAATAATAAATGCCACCTTTAAAGTGCAATTCTTTTCAGTTAAGCTGTTTATTCTACTGTGTAACAAAGGTCAACATTGTCATGAATACAGAAACAAACAAAAACTGGCTCACTAATGGAATAAGTTTTCCCTACTCCCCTCTTCAAATACACTGTGCCACCCCTAGGGGGCGCATACCGGCGTTTGGGAACCAATCAATGGCTTTTGAGAAGCCTTGAGCTTTTGGATGGGGAACCCTGAGCTTTCTCTTCCTTCATTAGACTGTAAAACTACAGCGAGTGTCTTTGATCAGAGGCTTCAGCTGACATGCTGTGAGTCAGACCACTACAGAAGATCCTCTCTGCTTACAGAGATCAGCATCAACAACAACCCAATAAACTAGGGATGCACGATATAATGGGCCCCCTATCGGTATCGGCCTTAAAACTGAATATCGGACATCTGCCCCC